GTCGGCTTTCCTGCTCCTCTGATGCTGCTTGGCCTGCTGTGTTCATCCAGCTCTATACCTTGTTATCTCAGATTCTCCAGCATCTGCAGTTCCTACTATCTCTGGGATTAATACACTTTTGTTTTTGTTTGTCATTGTAGATATAGTGGGCCAAAGGGCCTGTTTCTGTGTTATGACAATGACTCTCTTTGCAGTTTTAACAAGAACACTGAATAGCTATCAGGAGAAAGAACTTTAGACAATTATTCACTTCCCTGTCAGGTGAGTTGTGACAAACCTACTAACCCAACGTAAACGAAGTACCCAGCCTTGAGGTTCTTTCAACCACTCATTTAAATTGCTTCATCATTGTTGATAGAAACTGTATGGTTAAAAAAAACCAGAATGCATTAATTATCCAATGATAAAGATCATAATTTAAAAGACAGGTCACAGTCTGCACAGTTTAAATAGAAATTGAAGCATCCTCTCAGTTTTAGATGTGGCAATTAGTGGTACGTCTACCCTGGCTTCAACTTCCATTCCAAGCCATTAACAAAAGTCAAAGCAAAGATTCCATTAAAATATGAAAAACTGCTCAATTGTTAGAAGTGCCATCTTTCAGATGTATCATTGAATTGAATTTCCCTTGCTGTCTCAGGTGGACAGTCTCAAGTTTCCTAGCAAAGTGAATAATTAGGGCTGTAGAGAGGGCAGTAAACTAATTAGATTCAGGGCAGGTTTGGGAGAAGGGAAATGTAGGCCTACGAAGCAAGAGGATATGGCAGCATTACAGGGCAGCTATTTGGATATCGATACCCAAAGGGACAGGAAGGGACATACAGAGAGACAGTTATACAGACACAGTTATAAGGAGATCAAAACTGGGAACTAAACATTCAGGGGTATGTGGCTTTTTGAAAGTGCAAACAGAAAAGAAAGGATGGTGGGGTAGTAGTGTTAACATGGGACGAAATAGGCACGATAGCAAGAAATGATCTTGAACTGGAAGATGTAGAATCCATATGGGTGGAAGTAAAAACCCAAAGAAAAAGACAACACTGGTAGGAATAGTCTATAGGGCCCCTAACAGTAGCTATACAATGAGACAAAAAACAGATCAGGAAAATACTGAGGGCATGTAACCGAGGTAGTACCCTAACCATTGGTAACTTTAATCTTAATGTAAACAAGGATAGTCAGATCATCACAGGAAGCCAGGAGGGACAGTTTCCTAGACCAATGTGTGGTGAATCCAACCAGGGATCAGGCTATTTTGGATCTGTTGATGTTTAAATGAAGCAGGTTTCATATATGATCTCAGGATAAAAGATCCCCTCGGAAACCATGACCATAACATGGCAGAATTTAGTATTCAGTTCAAGAAGGTGATACAACTGTGCTGATCATAATTAGGGGCACTTACAAAGGAATGAGGGCAGAGTTGTTCTGAGGAAGGGTCACTGGACCCGAAACGTTAATCCTGTTTTTCTTTCACGGATGCTGCCAGACCTGCTCAGCTTTTCCAGCAACTTTGTTTATGTCCCTTAGGGAATGAGGCTGGGGAAATAATGATGGGGAGCCAAGAAATGGCAGAAGAATTGAATCAACACTGTGTGTCAACCTTCACTGTTGAAGACACTAACAGCATCCAAAAATTACCAAATATTCAAAGGGACAAAAGGAGGAGAGGAAATAAACACAATCATCTCTACAGAAAAAGTGCTAGAGTAATGGGGATAAAGATCAATAAATCCCCGAACCTGATGGGATGTGCCCTAGGATACTGAAGAGTAGCTACAGGGATTGTGGACCCACTGGCAGTAATTTTCCAAGAATCCTTAGATTCTGCTGTTGTCAGAGGATTAGAAAATTGCTAGAGTAACACTGTTATTAAAAAGGAAAAGAAACAAAAGAGAAAAAAAAATTAGGTAAAGGCCAGTCATCTTAACATTTGTCATTGGGGGACAAATGTTACAGTCTATAATAAAGGATGATGTGCAGGTGCCGGTGTTGGACTAGGGTCGACAAAGTCAAAAATCACATGACACCAGGTTATAGTCCAACATTTTTACTTGAAATCACAAGCTTTCAGAGCGTAGCCCCTTTGTCACCTCACCTGATAACGGGGTTACACTATTCCATAATTGAAAAGTGGTTGTGGATTAGGGAGAGTTTGACATCAGCAGGTGGTAAGTACAAGGAGTTTAGATTTTTCAACCTAGAGTGAGCAACTTTTATGTGAGAAGATCTATTACTTGAGAATATACGTCAATTAATATCAGCAAAGAAGTTTTAGAAATCTTTGAGGGAGAAAAAAAAATTGACAAATTCCAGGATCCAATGGCCCACACCATGCAGGTTTAAAGGAGATGCAAGATCCTATATCTCTACAGCTGTGATTTTCCAAAATTATTTAGATTCAGGAACAGTTCCATTACATTGGCAAATCTGACATTGCTTTTCAAGAAAGGAGGGAGAGAGAAAACAGAAATCTAACAAGTCAGAATCCTGATATCTGATGTTATTAAAATGCTGGAATCCATTTTTAAGAAAATCTTAACAATGCACTTAAAGTACAGCTTGATTAGACCACACAAGCATGGTTTTACAAAAGGGAAAACCTGTTTGACAAATTTACTAGCTTGAGGATGTAACTTGTAGGGTGAATAAAGGGGAACAGCATGTGTGCCATGTCTGGAATTCCAACAGGGATTTGCTAAGGTGCCATACAAAAGGTTAACAAACAAAATCAAAAGTTAGATAGAAAAAAAAGAGTAGCCATTCAGCCCATTGTATTGAATGGTGGTGAAGGCTCAATCTTGGCTGATTGAACAACTTCAAGTCTTTTACTCACTCCATCCTGATAATGCCACTGGTAATCAGAAATCTATAATCCCTACCTCAAACATACTCAAAGGCTGAACCTTCAAAGCCCTCAATGGTACAGAATTGCAAAAGTTCACAAATCTGAGTAGGGCATGACACATTGGCACAGTGGTCCAGGTAGGATACCTTTTGGAGGGTCAGTGCAGACTCAATGGACTGAATGGCCTCTATCTGCATTACAGGGATTCTATGAAAATAATCTTGGATCCCTATGTGGCATCCCCCTAACTGACATTTGTTCTATTATATTTTCTCAATCTACCTCAACTAATTTGTGCCTCATGCCTTCATAATTTCTCTTATTCAAAAGTAACACCCTTGATTCAGAATGAACTACATCACTTTCAACCATAATGTAAAATCCTATCATATTGTGATAACTCATTCCTAATAGTTAAGCTCTTCTACAACAAGATTGTTAATCAGCCCTTTTGCATTACTGATATTAGATGCAATAGCGTAAGCGAGAGAGAACATAGCAGGCTTAGAGTACCATAGAATCATTAACAATTAGCAAAACAGATATGAATTCTCAACTTTTATCTTTGAGATAAGAATTTTAAGCCAGATTTTGCTCTCTAAATAACAGTAAACCTAACAGCACAAATGATCTCTATCCATAATGATTCAACTTCAGGCAAGAGCAGATGCCGAGGTACAGGTGAAAAGTTGCTAGTTGTTTACATTTAAAAAAGGTGTGGAGAAACACAGATCTGGCACATCTGTGGAGAGACAGAGAAACAATGTTAACATTAAGTCCATTATGACTTTGCTTCTGTGTTCCAAAAGAAGAGTCATACTGGACTTCAAACAGTAACTGTTTCTTGCTGGACTTGCTGAGTTTCTCAGCATCTGCAGTTTTTTTTTGCTGTTAGCTAATTTCCATTGTTAGATGTGAGAAAGTCATCTTCCTCTATCTCACCCTTACAAATGCAACAAAAGGCTTAAAGTTTTTGTGTTTCCATAGTATAATTAAAGTAAACTCACCAAAGAAAGCTAAATCTTCTATTGCAGGCTTAGTAGTTGTTTAATGAAATGAAAAATATTCATTACTGTTGGTCCACTCCTCTAACAAATGAAATTTCACCATTGGTTTTATGTTTCTATCTCTGGAGCCAGAAAATACTTTTGAATTAAAAGCATTAAAAAAAAACTTTTCTTTATTTCTGTACCAGATTTGAAACTGAATTCCCCTATATATTATACGTTCTTGCTTCTCAGTTCTATTAATTTGACATTCCAATCTGATTTGTTGAGGAAACAACAGCTGCTTGACCCCTCACTCCCAGATCCCCTTGCAGCTTTATCAATTCACACCTTCAGCAGCTTGCCAAACACAAAATGTTAAAGCCTAAAATTAGTCTTAACTAGTGGAAGATGCCGTTACATGCTATTCTACAGTAAAATCTGGTCCAATGTCTGTGACAATGCAGCATTACTTCAATGCCAAAGTGAATTTTTGGTCAAGCTAGCAATTTAGAGCCAAGTA